CTTCAAACTACCATCCCCCCCCCCCCCTCCCTGTATGTCATATTCCACCACTTTCACAGTACTCTCCTCACCTTTTTCCCTACCTTTGTATTTGTCTGTCTCTTTTACATTTGTGAATCACTCTTCTATTCCCCCCTCTCCACTTTTGTGACTTTGACGTTCCTCCTCTCTGTGAGGCCCGAAGTCAACTAAAGGGTTAATGACAACCATCATAAAGTCTACCTTTTGATATAAATCAATTACTATGCCAAGTATGTACCTCATCCAAAATATTTCCTTTTAATTTCCTCTTATCACATAAACTTATTCAATAGACTTTTCCCCCCTACTTCACCTACCTTCAAACAAACCAGATCCAATTAGTGAAATATGTGGCGTGAGATCTTGAATTCTCCTTTTTAAATGAACCCAAAACACTTTCCACTCACCTTTTGTTGTTAGAAAGTATCTCAAATTTTGTGTGAAAATATTTGCCTGTGGTTCTTTAATCAAGCAGATCATGTTTTTTATTGTCAAAGAATGGAGACGCTTTTTACCTTTGCCATTATAAATAAGGTGTTAAAAAGATATTTTTGCGTATTCTATTTCAAATTTTCTAAATTACAACTTTTCTCGCCAAGACAAGCAAAAACGTTCAATCAGAAATTCTCAAACGGTTTGCTTTCGCGCTATCAAAAAATGAACATATTTTTGAGTGTCTGAGGAAATAAAGTTTACTGTCAATAAATGGGTTTTATTGCGGTAATTTTATAATATAGTCGTTAGGTATTTTTTTGTTAATATGATAACAAGGTGCCACAATTTCACCAATTAACGCATGAATAACTATTTTTGACCATTCGGTGACTGATTCATTTAAACGACTAATCTATGAATTTTTACTTTTACAATGTTTACGCACGAATGGAAACCACTGAAATCATTTGATTCTCAACATGGTCTTTCATGTTGTTCTTGGTCAAAGCGGTTGAACGTCTTCATCACAAAACCTGCACAAATTCCGTTTTCCTCTCACACTTATTTTCACCATCTCCTCATCTTAATTGAAATAGCCAATAGCTTCTGGTGATCTGCTTGATTTTGTGATCTGCTTCATTGATATTTTTCCAAGCCCTGAAAGTGGATTGTAGATTAAATCCATTTTGTCCCATCAAATGCAGCGGAATTTTAAAGCTACTACTTAAATGTTAAAATAGGCATAATTTGACTGCGAATTTTAATGAATGATATTGGAATAACGTGAAGACGGAAAATTGGAGTCTAATTGATTTTGGATTTCGTTCCAGATGTTAAAATAATAAGAATTAATGTGCATTTATATCATTCACATAAACGTTGGTTATACTTTTGCATTTGACACAACTATCTGGACAATGAGAAAATTTTGCGTTTCTGCCTTTGTTAGGGAAGTTGCTTTGGCTAACTAGTTGAGTGAAGGTGTGGAGGTATCGATTTTCTGACAGATTGGAGTGTAGTGACATTTTGAACACTTTCTTCCATCTTTCCTTTAAGGACTTGACCCCCAGAATGGACTATTTTGCAGTAGTGCAGCAAGATTTTCGAAAGCAATTTGAACAAAACCTTTAAATACTTGTTCCAAATTTACTACTCTATTCACCAAGCCATAATGAGTATAGCTCTCAATCTACTTCCACCCAAATTACGGTTGATAAGTGGGTTAAAACTCATATAGAACTCATACGCAAATGCAATTTCAATGGGCATTTCTTGTAAGATAATCCTGGCCTCAATTGAAAGAACCTTTTCCCTGAAAGTATGGCTATAGTAAATAGCTCATACTGCATGGTCATTTAGAACTTCATCAATCACTGGAGAGGGAAAAGGGGAAGAACAAATCATTTAACTAATTTAATTTTTATCTTTATTTGCTTAATGACACAAAGAATGTGATTTTCCACCTTATATTTTATAATAGGGAACAAAAATTTCACATTAAAGAGTTTCCAATAATATCACAACACCTGAGCTACTGTTTCAATGAAGACCTTCCAATAATATCATTTATCTAATCTAATAGGATCAGAATCATTGATTGTATTCACCTTGGGTTTGTGTCTTTTAAATTCTATTTGTAAAATAATCCAGCCCAGAGGAGAAGGGGGGGGGGTGCAGAACGGGAGTTACCCATTTGATATATATATATATCGCTTTTGAATCAATTAAATTTACGACAATATTTTGGTGCGGGGTGTGTGATAGACTTACCTCCACGTGGTGCACCCTGGGCAACGTATACTCATACGGCAAAAAAGTCTACCAACCGGCAGTTGATTTCTCACTTCAAACTACCATGACCCCACTGTACGTCATATTCCACTACTTTCACAGTACTCATCTTACCTTTTCTCTGCCTTGGCGTCTGTCTGTCTCTTCTACCTCCTTGAATCACTCTTCTGCTTCCCCTCCCGAATTTGTCACACTTTGATGTTCCTCCCCTCTGTGAAGCCCGAAGTCAGCTAAAGGGTTAATGATAACCATCAAAACGCCTGCCATTTGAAATAAATAAATATTTAGGTGCTAATTTTCACCACGAGACTAGGACAAAGGTCAAATTAATAAACGTCAATAAAATGAGCCGTATGATAATCAACGTAACAAATTAGGTCACTCACGTAATCTTCCCGTTTTAGCAATGATTGTAGTCAGCCTATTCAAAATGCCACTAGAATGATTTGGTGTCATTAAACCTATTAGTATTAAACTCATTTTTTTAATCAAATAATGCTCAATCACATCTTCAAACTTTATGATCTAGTTGTTGGACTTTCTTGGCATACGATTATAGTCCAAGGCTATAATTATCTTAACTTCAACCGAGCAACAGTTTACCCTCAACCCACTAGTGGAAAAACGAAAAAAAGATGCCTCGTTTTTTGCCCGCACATATATATATATATGTATATACCGAAATAAGTCTGTACAGGAGTTGAAAATACCCAGGGGTGGGAGAACAAAACACGGTTATTAAAATTCCGCCTCTGGAATTTCATTTTGACTCTGCCATACAGAGTTTTCTAATTGGGACTGGGGATAGAGGTAGGTCGTTGAAGTATCAGTGGATATCGGAGCTTGATACTGTGGATCTTCAGTTGTATTCCTGGCAGCACTCCACTGAGGATGCATAATAGATGGTTGAGTAGTCGTATATACCATCTGAGGTGGGGATGTCGAGTGTGGAGTACACTCATATGCAGTTGCTGTGACAGTAGCTAAATGAGATTCGACTCCTCGGGGGAAAGCTCCAGTATTCGTGACATTCCAAGCGGGGTTCGCTTCAGCATTCGATGCCCCCATCGATGAAGCCCCAGCCTGCCATTCAAAGTTACCCCGTTGGAAGGCTGTCATGTAATTATTCATTCCAGGAGACGTATAGTAAGTCACAGTTTGGTGGGGATGGGGATTAATAGCAGCCCCGGGTAGATTTTCATTTGGTGAAGCCGTTGTGTAGGGGACATTATACCCTTGCATTGCGGTTCTGGGGGAAATTTCTGGACTTCTCTGTCCTGAATTGTTCCAGGTGTTTTTGCGCTTGTGGAGCTGGTGGGGTCGATTATATCCACTATTTACAGACTCCGTACTGTTTGCATGGGATGTACTTGGTCGAGAGTTTAACTCATCATCGCCGTCTGAAATCCTTGGCTCATCGAAATTTGGCGTGCTGGTTCCTTCAGACCTGGCTTGCATGAGTCGTTGCATTTTTTTCAATTTCGAGCGATGGTTTTGGAACCAAATTTTAACCTTAATTGTAGAGGGAATGAAAAAAGTCTTGATTAGACTACAGTAGGGCAGGGCAATATTGATATTTTGGAAACACGCATTCATTTGGTTATGAGGAAGATCAAAGCTCAAACTCTTACACACACTGGTTTTTTTAAGATAGCGCGTTTGTGAGCAAGACCATAAAGCTAGCTATTCACCCTCTCTCACTCACCCTTTCTCCTTCACTCCCTGGCGTCCAATATACGTTTATGCACCGAGAAGGGCGTATCTGTCTCATTTACCCACATAGGTTTGTCCTTTCTCGCTCTCCCTCTTCAGACTAACAAATTTTAGTGAAGATTACGCAAAACATGTTGTGAGCAGAAGGGGGCAGAACTGCACATCGTTTGTGAAATATGTGGTGGGGTGGTGTGGGAGAGGGGGGGGGGCGAGTGGGTGAGAAGGAGGGATTTGTGATGTGGAATTCAAATTCTCCACCATCACCCACCTAAAATTCCACAAGAATGGAAGCAGAGGAGGAAGAAGGAGGAGGATAATTACAGGCTTAGAACAAGTGAGTGCGTAAAATGTCCCGTCCACTATAGACATACATCCGCACCGCGTGAATGCCGGTTTTCCTTGACTTTCCTTTTCCCCTTCCTCCTTCCCATCTCGCTTCATTCGTTCCCCTCGTTCGCTTGCCTAGCTTACCTTTTGCTTGTGTACACCCTTACCTTCCGCTTTTGTTCAAAAGACAAGCAAAGGGTCGTGGGAGGGGGGGGGAGGAGAGGATGGGGTGGGAGAGGGGGGGTAGTGAGATGAGCTGCAAAATGTCACGTGTTTTCGAAGACGTTTACGGCCTTAGTAATTATACACATTGAGTTGGAGAAAGGGAAGGAGATGAAAAGCAGAAGAGGAGAGGCTACACAGGTAAGTGACTAACCACAAATCAGGTGCGAATTGTCTGCAAGCTCATAAATTCGCAACAGATCGATCGGCTTTCCGCTTAACTACTGCTAATAAAACAACCTGTGGCAGCACCATTTTTCGGGAGGTTATTGTGATAGCTTCAGTTTTGACTACCTGGGACGGGGGAGGGGAGTGGTGGTTTAATTATAGGTTTCGAGAGTGAAAATCATACGCGTGTGAGTGAGTATATATTGCCTTATTTTGCTTAATCTTATTTCCATCCTTTCAAATAACCAATAATTACAGCGGCTTACCTGTCTCCCTCTATAACGCCTCTATGCGAAAGTGGGTACTAAATCCACTTTTGATATCCCTCCTCCCCCTACCCACATGTCCTATGCCATGTGTCATAAAAGTGAATAAATTACCAAACAATATTTTCATGATGAACTCACTTGAGTTTGAGTTAGACCAAGACGGCTAGCCAGTTCGGCACGGGCGGAAAGATTGAGGTAAGCATTTTGTCTGAAGCTCGCATTAAGACTTTCCAATTGGCTGGGGGTATAGATAGTACGAGGTCTTCTAGGCCTACGTCGATTGCCTAAGCCACGGTTGCCTTTATTATTGGAGAAGAACAAGATGATCAGGACTTATTAATTAACAAATGGAAACGCAAACAAACCAGCTATCTAAGCGTACCTTGACCACTCTCACTGGTACCTGCAGTTGAATTTCTCTCAATATTTCCACCATTTGGGCTGATAGAAGGGTTCGTATTTTGAAGTCCAGGAGAGATGGAATCTTGAAGTAATCCACGATGTCCATGAATATACGTGGGTTGAACAATTAATTCCTCTTGGCGAGTAGGTAGAACCGAATTATGAGCATCAGGAGGAACACCATGAGTTGAGAAGTCATTGGAATAATTGGTATTATTATTATTTGCAGTATGAGGATAGTAAAGTTGATTGTACGATCCATGGAAAGAAGCAGTGGTAGTACCATCAAACGGTGTAGAAGCAGTGTAACTGGGATAATTCTCCACATTCATATGCGCTTCAGGATGTCCACCATAGGGGCCTACGAAATAATCATCATTGGAAACAGATAGGGGATTAGCTCCATTCATGTAGTGTCCACTAATATCCGGATTACATTCATTAAGTGGTGGAGTATGAGTTGGTTGAGGGGAGAAATATCCATTAGTAGGAGCATGCAAATCCTGATTATTCATATAGGTGTACTGCAATGCGCTGGGGTTCATACTTATCCTGTCTCCTTGAACACGATTTTTAGTCATAACTCCGTGAACAACCTTACACCAAAGTGTTCTAAAAGATGTGTTAATAATAGCTCTGAGGCCTGCTTAAATACAGTTTCATGCGTGTGCGGCCGTCCCACCCAAAAGCATAAACCAATCACACTGAGCAGGACAATGAACGGTCGCTCATTTCTCACTTCTGATTGGTTCTAAGTTGGTCAGTTCACTGATTGGCCAAGTGTCAATGGGCGCGCGGAATGTCAATGATTTTGTAAATGAGATGAAATTAACTGCAGAGCCAATGCTTTAATGGTAAAAATTTATTAATTACTAATTTAATTATTTTGTGAATATTATTGACATACTTTGCACATTTATTATTAAACTAAGCACATACTATTTCATGCTACAATGTACTGTTATATTTACTAGAAGTCTTCAGAAAACCAGTATAAAAGCACATTTTTTTCGACTTTCAAATGTCACATATGTGCGTCTTAATGATGTGTTAAGGGGGTTGGTTGTATTATAGTTGAAATGTAAAAGCTTCACTTTCCATCTGTGCATTTTTCTGCCACATGAACAGATGGCAAGTAGTTTTTGGGCCCCACGTGTGGGGCGGTCTTCAATCAAAGTCAGAATTTGCTGAGTAAGGACTTCTTCCCCAACATACTTCCCAAAAGGACTCTTTTGTTCCCCCCCCCTTCCCTCCTTCCACTGCCTCTCTCTCTCTCTCTCCGACTTTTGAATGTAAAAGGGGTTTATCTTAGCCTCAGGTATTGCAGCATCTGTCGATCTAAATAATTGCCACCTATTTCGACAGTCTTTGGCACTATAGACCGTACAAGTGAAACATTTTGTTAGTCTTTAACAGGCTGGAAATGTTCGCAGCTTCCATATTGAGTTAAATGTGGAAATGCATTTCATTTCAGTCTTGGTAATTTGCTAGGAGACTCTAGAAGATGTAGTCAACCAAATGTTTGCCAACCTTGACAAACCCCTTCAAACGCCTTCAGAGTTGATCTTTGCAAAATGAATTTGAAGGGCGAAATTGAAGTGGAAGACCATTGAATCATTTTATTTTTTTTTGAAATAAAGTATTTGTTAACTAAAATCTCTCTGAATAAACCAAAAATGTTAGATTATACACGTATGAGAAATTGTAAAAAAATGAAACTATTGTTTGAATAGGCTTAGTAGGGACTTGATAAACATAACAATGGAATGTGTGAGCAAATAAAATGAAGTCAATATATCGATATATAATAATCAAAATTACCTGATTGGAATTAAATATTTTTTTAATTAGTCAAGCCATGTAATGTAGTTATTTCCATTCGGATGCATCATAAATAGCGCTTTCAATGTGGTGATTAATATTCCGGTGCCTGAAGTCACAGAATCATTGCACATCCAACGAAGCGAGTTACCAACCCATCTGGTAAAATTTTGTCAACATGAGAGATAAGAGAATGGAGGATTTTTGCAGGAGCAAGTCTAGGCCACCTTCACCTTGCGTTTGGGCAAATTTTCAGAGTGGTCAATTTTAACATGTATCATGAGATCAATTTATGCCTAGTAACATTCAGTGATAATTTCTGCTCAACAGGAGCGATGGTCATAGGTAGAAGGAGATTCTCTTTAATATAAGCATCAAGATACCCCCCCCCCTCCTCGTTTCTTAAATGTCTTACTGGACTTAAGAGGTCTTCTTCCCAAGTCCTGTGGATTTGTCTCTCTTCTAATGAATAGTGTGTGAAAGCAGTAACAAATTTGTAAGCAATCGTTTTAATACCCTTTGAGCCACCTCTGACCTAGTAATTACAATGCAATCTTTTAATGCAACTTCAAAGTGTATTTTTCTCATCTACTTATGCCAATTGTTGCCTATTGGAGTATGGCAGTTAGAAGTAGGAGAGCTCCCAGTTGAGTATTCATTAAACCAGTTTAATAAATCGAGAAATGGGCTTTTTTAAATTGGCCATATTCCGACGAAAGTTAATGGTCAATTCTAGTTTGGAATGAAAGGTAAAGACGTTATCAACCATTTCTACAAAAGCACGATTGGCTATCTTGACCAACGCCCAAAATGCAAAGAAAGATAGGCCATTTGTTTCCTACTTGTGTACCTTTGAAAAATTAAATAAGCAAATAATATTCGTTATTTTAAAATTTGTAATACGATGCAAATGAACTAACCGACCTAATATATATCAATTAAGATTTGTCGTAAAGGTAGGCTTTTGACATGAAAATGCACAGTAATCAATATTAAATTAAGTGAAATACAAAGGGAGTTAGGTTTGGAAATTAATGCTTCCCCCTGGGAACAAGGAATGAAACTATTGAGGACTTAACATTCGTATGGACTATGACCTTAAAGAAGTAGGAGATAAGTTCATCCTCTGTGTACTCAAGTTCAAAATAGAGGTCCGTGCATTTTGGAACGCAAAAGTTAATGAACGCTTTATAGAACTTTTGATAACAGCGGTTGGTTCCAATTCCGCAGGTCTATAAAAGCAAAGTAACAGTTTCCAAAAATTATTTCGTGGAAGAAGGGGGACATTCTGAAGTCTTCAATACCTTTGAAAATTCCAACTAATGAAGTAGAATTTATATACTTTTAATCAATTATATTTTATTATATAAACAATAAAACCAATTATATATTATTATATCAAATGGCAGGCGTCTTGATGGTTATCATTATCCCTTTAGTTGACTTCAGGCTTCACAGAGAGGAAGGTACAAGTCGAGAGGGGAGGACAGAAGAGTGTTTCAAAGTAAAGTCGAGAGGGGGGGGGACAGAAGAGTGTTTCAAAGATATCGAGAGGGGGGGGGAACAGAAGAGTGTTTCAAAGATGTAGGAGACAGACACAAAGGTAGAAAAAAGGTGAGGTGAGTACTATGGAAGGAGTCGAATATGACATACAGTGGGGTGATGGTAATTTGGAAGGGGTCGAATATGACATACAGTGGGATGATGGTAGTTCAGAAGGGGTCGAATATGACAACCAGGGCGGTCGTGGTAGTTAAGTGGTCGAATATGACATACAGTGGGGTCATGGTAGTGTGTAAGGGGTCGAATATGACAACCAGGGGAGTCGTGGTAGTTTGGTGGTCGAATATGGCATACAGTGGGGTCATGGGGCCGTATGAGGACACAAAGGCAGAGAAAAGGCTAGATGAGTACTGTGGAAGAGTCGAATATGACATACAGTGGGGTGATGGTAATTAAGTGGTCGAATATGACATACAGTGGGGTCATGGTAGTGTGAAGTCAGAACCAGTCAATAGACTTTTTTCCGCATAAGTATACGTTGCCCAGGGTGCACCACATGGAGGTTGTAAGTACACGTTGCCCAGGGTGCACCACGTGGAGGTAGCCGTATGGTATACGTTGCCCAGGAAGTGATAAGTCAACTGCCGGTTAATAGACTTTTTTGCCGTATGAGTGGGTTGCCCAGGGTGCACCGCGTGGAGGTAAGTCTATCGCAACAACTGCCGGTTAATAGACTTTTTTGCCGTATGAGTATACGGTGCCCAGGGTGCACCACGTGGAGGTAAGTCTAAATATACATTGCCCAGGGTGCACCACGGAGGTAAGTCTATTGCACACCCCATGATACCTATCATAACGCCTGCCATTTGAAAGTACGTTGTCCAGGGTGCACCACGTGGAGGTAAGTCTATCGTATTCTTAAGAATAATTGTTTAGAAAACCAGCAAGGGTTGAAAGTTGCCCAGGGTGCACCACGTGGAGGTAAGTCTATCGCACGCTGTCCAGGGTGCACCACGTGGAGGTAAGTCTATCGCACACACCCCTCCGCTTCCAAATAAGATGTTGATAGTGAAGGCATATTTCCAGGGTGCACCACGTGGAGGTAAGTCTATCGCACACCCACTTGGCTCTCCCCTCAAATTTCAACCCTACACGGATGGGCCAATTATATATATGTATATGTATATAAATATAAATTTTAATAATTTAAAAAACGACACGTCTGTAAGATAGGGATAATAAAATAGTAAGATACAATCGAGTAACTATGACGCAGAATTTTTTGATCGGTGGATTAGACTTAATAAGTACTATCTTTCAAGAGTATTATTCATTCACTGAGTTCTCTGAAAATCAGCATAAATTCCCATTAAAGAGTCCACGGGGATTTTGCGTGGTCATCGAAATTGATTGCCTTTTTCTTATAGTAATGTTCTGTATTCGAAATTATTCTATATTGTACTAAATGAAACTGCAACGGTATATTACATATGCATGCATAAGTGAACATTATGAATACTTTGCATAGCAAAGATAGGGAAATCGATTTGATAGAATTAGGAATTTCTCATGTGATTGTTGTGATATTTTTCGATTTTTAATTTTTCCTTCCTTCCCAACCATGAATACTTTTCGCACTGCTTTACTCTTTCTTTAAACAAATTAAACTTTATTTGTAGTCAGTTTCTCTTGCAATAATAAATGACGCTTAAGTGATGGAACTTGTCGGAAAAAATCCATTGTTCTTATAAATTCTGAAAGGAAGGATGTGGATTTCTTTCCGAATAAATCAACTGTAAATTGATACCGCCCTCAAGTGACCTCTTTCTGTATTGTTGCCGTGTCAATTTTTCGGCACACAGGCAAAGGCCAACTTGAGGTCATTTGTACATAACATCTAATTAACAATGCGTTCTTAATAAAGCCCCAGTCGAATCAGTAACTATGCTTAACAAATACCGTAGTATTGTAACATCTCAAAATTAAGCATCTTTGAGTTAACGTCATGAGATTGGAAAGTGGAGACTTCAAAGAGGATCAAATTTGATGACTTTAACATTATGAACACAATTTTATACTCAGTGATTAAGTACATAAAAGAATTATTTTGTGGGAAATACTGCACATAAAGTCCACTATTATTGTCCACAGTATTAGGCAAAAATTGTGAATTTTTTTCGTATTTTCAATAGAAAGTCCTACAAATGACAATTGGGGTTGAGGAGGGGGGAGGGGGGGTGGGAACAACAAGATACGC